GTCTGAATTTCCCAAAGTCCAATCGATCTAAGGATTTTGAAAAATTGATAACATGCACCATTAAGATGCATGACTCTTCATCGGGCCATGAGAACGTCTTAATAAGCATAAGACAAACTCCAAATTGAGACAACCTAGGTGCTACCCTAAACATGCTTCTACGCAAAACGGTATGCATGTACAGTGCATGCGATAGGGAAAGTAGTAACACGTAGACAGTATATGGGGGTTAGATGCAAGAAATCCTACCCTGTAGGTACCTGTCCTAATTTGAAGGGTGCTAGTGTTTTGTATATGCAAAGGCTGGTTTTGGCTTGTAACAGGTTCCTCGGACTAAAGCCAAGATATACCTCCCGCTGCTCGCGTAACCGCAGAGCAACAGTCGAACGGTAGAATGACTCATTATCGTCGAAGGTTGTTGGTCATTCGGGGTCCCCGGGCTCTGGTAAATCGTGCCGGATTACCAAAACGATCCAACGAGGCTTATCCCACATCGATGCAAATGAGAATGCTAAATAAATTGATTAATGGAATAGAATCGCAACTTCGCAAATGCCTGTTCAAATTTGGCTCTCTTTATTGATCAATACTTAGAAGAAACTACACGAGAGAACAATCGGAAAAGCGCCAGTCACGATGGCCGGACACGAGGTCCTGTTAAATCACCAATCCTTTCTTCGGCAGCGTGAAGCTCACCGTTTTGACAGACGTTTAAGGGATTGTTCGCAAATGTATTAAAATGTAAGTATAGACCAATATTGATTTGATTGCTAGCAGAGTCGCCACTGTGAGCATGCGGTGCCCTTTTTTCCTTTAGGGAAGAAAGATTCCGTTCCCTTCCCCAAAGAGAAAGTCCCGGTTTGCGGGAGCGCTTTAAGCTGGACGACAAGCACTCGCGAAAAAAAAATACAGAGTCGCCACTCGGGTTTGAAGGTCCAACACCAAAGGAACCGTATTTCGAAGCACTTGCCGCGATGTTTAATATGAAAAAGTTAAGGAACCAATCCGTCATAACCATATCTGGGTTCGGGAGCCAGGTTAAGAGAGGGGAAGGGTTTTATGGCACCCCTCTCGCCCAATCCGGAGATCGGTCTCTACTTAGGCATTTACGAAAAATGTTTGTTTGCAATTCTATTTGATTAATCAATTCTTTAGCCAATTTAGGGCGAGGAAACAGTTAATCGGGGATTAAAACTGTAATAGTTTGCAGGATGTGATAAATAATAGCATGGATGGATGAAATGGCGAGAAATAAATGAGATAAAATCTAACACTGATATTGGATGCCAAAACAGTACCTTGGTTTGAGTTTGTCATGAACAACGGCCAACTTGCATGCATGGAGGTTCTTACATGCAAGTTTGACCATCGCGCGGCACTCCTTATCCATCGCACGAGTGTTGGCATCCTACCAACAGGTTAAATTTTATCCCCTTCTGGGCTCTGGAAGGACCAGTGCACACCCAGGGTCAAACCAAACAGTTTATATGTACTGAAAGTAAATAATTATTACAATCAAGATCAACAGAAATGAGATGCAACTCTTAAACAGTGAGGGTATCAAAACAGAGGCCAAGAGCCTGACTGCCTATGCAAGGGCAACCACTAGAAACAGACTGACCATCGCACGATGGGGTCAGATCATCGCGCGAGTGTCCTGACTGGACTTCCATGAATTGCTTTACATGCCTGAGCTCTGAGACATATTCAGAAGCAATCCAGGGGCATTCCAAAGCAAGCAAATAAGTAAGCTAAGCTAACCTACAGATTTAATATGCATAACAGTTAAACATTCTAAATATTCTTCACAGGAAAGCATAAAATCATGTAAATGAATAAGGATAAGAATCCCATCCCCACGAGAACCATATCGTGCTGACTAGAACAGTCGCGCGATGACTAGAACAGTCACGCGATGAAGTGGGTGTCTCGCGCGTGGGAGTGCTTCTCCACAGTAACTTGTAACTTTGCTGGCTTTAGGACTAGGACTGGTATTGATTACCAGCCTTGGCCCTGTCAGCCCCCCTCAAGTATCAAAACAGTAAACAGTAAGGATTATACCTTTGCTTGAGTGTCTTGAGAATGGCTTGAATAAGGTGGTATGGCTTGGAAAATGAGTATGTGGGAGTGATTTGAGTGGAAGAAGTGCTTAGGCTTATATCTCTTTCTTCTCTTTTGGAAATTTTTGGTAACCCTTTGGAAGAGGAACCCTTGGGGATACTTGTAGGAAGAATAGGGGCTTTGTTGGTTGGTTAAACTAGGTAATACAACTAGCCAACAAGGCTGGCTGTAGTTACTTGGCGGAGAAGTAGGGTGCAAAAGTTGATGGGAGAGAGGGGGAGAAGTGGTGCAAGGGTGGCCTCGCAGAACGTTGTTCAGTCGACGAAACGGGGTTACACAGGTCTGTAGACCCCTAATCATCACAAAATCCAGCTGGAAAAAGGTGGAAGTGACAGGTGTTGACCATTGCGCGAGGGTGTGACTCCATCGCGCGAGGGTGTGACTCCATCGCGTGAGTGTTCAACTAGCCCCGCGACGGTCAACAGTCAAAACTTTGACTTTGACCACCACCTAGCAAGTAAATCATCGCGCGAGAGACCCAGTGGGTCGCGCGATGGTCAAACTTGAGGTTGAGGTTTGGATTCAAGGGTTTCAGGGCTAAGGATGGGTTCCACACACACCAAGCTCAAACCATTTCATCTTCTCAAGACTGTTTTCGACCTGATTCATCATCAGGGAAACAAGAGACCGAAAAATGAAGTAAAACGATCGGGAAGTCAGATTGGGGTGTCTACAAGCGGCCTGTCCCGTCCATTCAAACCAAAGCGGCGATCCATTCATCCAGTTCTGCATTCATCCCAGCTACGGTCCATCCGTCCAACCCATCCAACCAGGTTCTTTAAGTATATGTGTCTACTTTGCTAGCATGTTCTGTTCTGGACAGCCTCGAGGGTTGTCTAGAAACCTTTGACGTTACTTATACCAAGACAATGGTGCTCCAAGTGTCGTCAAAGGGGTACTATAGACACCCTATTTTGGGCTTCCCAAATTAGTTTACTTACAGTATTTGATTCCCCGATGATGAATAAGATCGAGAACACCCCGAGAATGTTAATATTTTTGAGCCTTGAGCGGTAAATCCTTTTCAAACCCTTGAAGCCAGAACCAAAAGCCTTAGCCAAACCCTACCTGCATGCGCTGGTGGACCACTGGCGTACACTTGTTAAATTGCCACGTGTCAGTCATTGGGCTTTGACTCGCCATGCAGTTCATGGACTGGCGCACGCCGGTCAAAGGTAGTCCTATCACCTTTATTCAGCCACATTCACAAGACTTTTGTGTCACTCTAGTGGCCTGTATATTCGTCTAAGAAGCCATCTCAAGTCAGGGGATGTTCCCTTCTTCTCTCTCCAATTCCCATCACCTTGCTTCATGCATTTAATGCATGAACACTTACACTCCAAGGCTAACCAGCCCCAACATGAGCGGTTTACACCCCTCACTCTCACCACGTTCTCCTATATATACCCCCTATGCATTCCCTTGCAAAGGGTTACAAAAATTCAAAAGCTCCAGTTACAAGTTCAAGTTCCAACTTCTTATTCATCTTTTCCTTGCCAAAGGAGAACATAAACAAGCTTCACTCATCCCCAGTACATACATCTACCCATATACATTCTCCATCCCTCCAAACCATAAGTTCAAAGCTCAAACACTCCTACAAACTCAAAGGTATACCACCATTGAAAACTCTCTGTTCTGATCCCGAAAGGGGGCTAGCAGGGTCAAGGCTGGTAATCAATACTAGTCCTGGCCCTAAAGCTAGCAAAGTTTCAAAGCCGTTTGTGGCTAGAACTGGCGCACGCCAGTCCCATGTACGCGTACGCCAGTCATGGTTATATGTGCAATACTGGCGTGGGGATCCGTGTCTAGTTATTTTACGTCTTTCATTCCATATACCACTGTAATGCATGCTAAAAACCAGTTTACCATTTTCCATAGTCAAAATCTGCTAGTTTTACTTTTCAATATCCACTTCTGCTGCTATGGAATACCCCTGGGGTCTTTATGATCCATGTCTCAGAACCTAGAAAGTGCAAAGCCAAGCACTGACCAAAAGTGAACAACCTACATGCTGCAGTGATCTACTACGCACGCCGGTTGTTCCAAGGCCAGTGGCTAGCCCTTGCATGGTAACTAGGCCTTGGCCTCTGTTTCGTTCCCCACACTGTTATGGGGTGTTCTATTATTTAATAGGCCTCCGAGCCCATTTAGCCATCTTAAAACGATATATAACTGTATATAGAACTGCTTGGTTTGTCCTGGGTGAGCACTGGTCATTTCCAGAGCCCAGAGTGTTGAAAATAAGAACTATGGGTTTAAATTTACTAGCGTATGTGAGTTTAGTTGTGGCATAGACAGGTTGGATCAATATGCAGTGACTTGATCAATGCATGCTAGTTTCTTCTTGCTTACATCACTCTTAAACAGTGTATTCCAGTCTTTTTAAAACTCCCACAGGAGTCTGTGTTCATCCTATACTAATTGTTTCAATAAGCAAGTATATCATTTTTTCACATCCTGCCTACATATTACAGTTTTAATCCCTTTAAACTGTTCCTCGCCTTAATTGGCTTAAAAAATGATTAATGAGAAAGAAGCGCAAATGTTTTACAAAATGCCCTAGTAGAGACTAGTCTCCGGATTAGGCGAGAGGAGTGCCTTAAAACCCTTCCTTTCTCATAACTTGGCTCCCAAACCTCAGATATCAAAGGTGACGACGGACTAGTCTACAAAACCTTTTCCAATCAAAACGTAGCAAACATTTCAAGTTCGGTTCCTTGTGTGGTTTACCGCAAAACCCAAGTAGCGACTCTGAATCGAAGCATTTTGTCGCGCTTTCCAAAAAGGACGCACCCAATTTCTATACAGATTTTTCAGGGGCATGTGCCCACATATATATACTATAAATATATTGTTTGAGAATACCTAGCCATCAAGGTTTCATGGTGTAGTTGGTTATCACGTCAGTCTACCACATTTAAGGTCTCCGGTTTGACCCCGGGCGAAGCCATTATTTCCATGGTTTTTTTTCCCCCTTTCCCAAGTTCCCTTTTGCAAAACTTTCGGAAAACCCAAACCTATCTGCACCGATGTTTTTTAATGGCGGGTTTGGTTTTGTATTTTTATTAAGATGTGTTTCCCACTTTTCAGCCGCGCAGGAGTGAGCGAGAAATCAATGGCATATGAGGACTTGTCTACATCTAACGTATAAAGGTGTGAGCGCCTCGATCTAACTTTGTATGTAATGCGATTGAGTGTAACCCAAAGGGTGAGGCCACAATGAGGTTTGTGGTTTGCTACAATGAAGTGGATTTAGAATTTTCCAACCGTGTGAGAAAAAGAAGAAAACGTTGTAAAATAAAGACGTACTTTATTATATCGGAATAATAAAGTTGAGGTACAAGGAAAATAAAGTTGGTGCGAGGACCAATGAGTACAAGGTACTCGGTATAATGAAATGTAAAAGATAAAACAAACTTGCTGAAAGTTTGAGTTTGATTGAAGCATTGGGCTTTTTGGTGTTGGAACCCCTTCTAAGTCTTGCGAACTTATATTTATAGGCAAAGTTTCAATCTATGAAGCCCCAAAATTGTATTTCATGTCAATCCATTGTGCTGCCATGTGTCCCATGTCCACGGTTCCACTTTCTCTCATGGGAGTTACTCCCCTATTTTGGAGCCAAAAATCAGTTAATTAAGTTTTCGCTCCCTTGTGCCATGGAACTAGCAGATAATGGGCTTCAAAAACTTCCAATGAAACACCAAGATGCCAAGTGCCCTGACCATTTCCTTTTCTGAAGGCATAACCCACCAATTTCCCATATTATTCGGCCAACTCCACCTTATCCGAACAAGTTAATTTCAATGGAAAGATTATTTGGTGCATCTCACTCCACTTGAACGGCTTTGATTAATCGGGTCTGCTTCAAATCGTAGAATGAATGTGGCCCATTAATTTTTAGCTCGAGAAACTCATAAAAAATCGGCCTGATTTAATTAAAAATTAATTAAATGGTTCTCTAACACTGGCCCAAGATTTGGTGCCAAAAACGAGTGTAAACAATGACCACCCAACACCGCCCCCCCCCCCCCCCCCCCCCCCCCCCCCCCCCCCCCCCCAAATGCATTGATTCTTTAGTTTTAGGATCAAGGCGTGTATAAAAAAAAAAAAACTATTTTTGGCATCCAAACAGTCCACTGTTGTAGCATATCTTCTTTTGTTTGCCTTGCAGACTTAGTAGGCAGTAGGCATTTTTCATGTTTCCTTCAGACATTTGACAAAATTCTCTGAATTCAGACCTTGGAATGAGTCTACCAGCTTTCTTTTTATTGGACAGGCATTTCAAAGGCCTCTATTAGGGATAAAGGCCTCAATCTGTATCCTCCAAGGCTTCTTAAAGTGATTGGATGATACTCATGCCTATGTCATCGCTGAATCTCAATGATGTCGCCTTTTATCAGGCCTGTTTACACCAACAAAGGCTTATGTTCAGGTCTAATCATAAAAAAATGACTGAACCATGAAAAGGCCTAGCAATGACTGAACCTCATGTAAGAAAGACCGAACCTCCACTTTGAGTGCTCATAATAGTGATTCAGTCCTACAGGAAAAGTCTGAACTTCTATTTGAATTGCTTATAATATTGGCTCGGCCTAGACGAAGGGCTCTAAGGGACTTCGAACCTATAGCAAAAGCCTATTTACACCAATCGAGTCCTGCGTCCAAGCTTGGTTGTAGAGAATCCATAGATCCTCGAAAAGGCCTGGGAAGGATTGAAAATAAATTTGAAGGTTTGAACCTCTGCTTTGACCTTTCAAGCATGCTTAATGAAATAAAAAGGTCTCGACCTCTGCAGAAAAGGCTTAGTAAAACTCTGATAGGGCCTACTCAAGGACTGATAGGCCATGGACGAACATTTTTTAGATGTCTGTTCAGCCTATGAAGGACTTTTCTTTGTTCTTAGCCCTTCTTGACACCACTTTGGCATTTTTGTGTAAGCCAAATGAATAACACTCGCTTTTGATATGCCCCACAGGCCTAAAATTGGCATATGCTTACAATGCCTTTTGGCAGTTTGGACAATGCCAAAAAGGCCTTCATTAACCGAGGGAGGAGGGAGATCTCTGATTACAAATGAATCGTGATCAAGCCCTAGAGTGTTGTTGCTTTCCTCCTCTTCATTTTATTCTTCCTGTTCTAGAATGGGTGCAACATGCAATTCAGCCATACCCAAAGGGCTGATAGCAGGTCTGGATCCTTCCTAACTTGCATCAATGATTTGCTCACCGCTCAAGAGTGAATCCGGATGTGGTAGGTCTTTAGACACTTGAGGAAGCTCTTGAGAGGAGAGAATGAGCTGATCTTACATCATAATAGGACTTTCTATGTTCTGGCTTATCCCAGGTCTGAGATCTTGCTCCCTTTGCATTGAAACAAACTCCGTAAGATCCAGTCGAATAAGTGAAATGGAGAAACCTTTCTCTATTTCACTTGTTTAATTTAAGATTCAAAAAATGACTATGTACCCAATCTATTATGAATTGTAACAATTTCATGAATAAAATCATGAAGAAAACATGACCAATTAACCAACCAACAAAACTATATATTACAAATAAGATCTTATGCTCGTTGTTGTAGAGAAAATGCTGACTAATCTAGTCCGGGTACCATTGAATCAGGTTCAAGGTAGGAATCTTTTCGCTCCTCCAATCATGGAAATAGCTTACCATCCAAAAGTGTTTGGAACATTCCTGAATGTTGCTTGTTGCGCTCAGATCTGAGACTGTTGCCTTGATCATTTTGATATTTATCATCCAGACCTTGCCTCTGTTCGGGATTCCTCAAAGGGCTGAACTAAGATTTTTGACCCCCGGGTGCAGGACTTTCAGAAGTTAAGGACTGAGAGAAGCTTGGACGCCTGGTGTGCTTGCTAGAAGCTTGTTGAGACTCTTGCCCCCCGAGGGCAGGACTTTCAAAAGTTAAGGATCGAGAGAAGCCTGGAGGCCTGGTGTGCTTGCTGTAAGATTGTTAAGACTCTTGCCCCTCGAGTCCAATTCCTTAGCCTCCTTGCCCCCCGAGTGTAGGGCTTTCAGAAGTTAAGGACTAAGAAAATCCTAGAGACTTGGAGTGCTTGCTAGAAGCTCGCTTAGAGACATTCAGGCCTGAAGTTTGGCCTAAAGTTATAAATTGTGATATCCGTGGTGGAATAGGAGTTGACTCCATATCTTTAAGATTAGCCCTTAATTTTTCAATGGCCTTGTTGAAGTCCTCAACGGCCTTATTGGAGTTAATTACCCATTCTTTAATATTTTGCAAAGATGCATGCAAAGGGACAAGGCTGAGTGCTCATATTTTCTTCAACTTGACCCCTAAAGGTCTGAGTAGGAGGATCATCGAACCCACCATTTTGGAATTCATGCTATTCGGGCAGGGCTAAATACATAATGCTTGAATAGCCATGTGACTTGGCACTAAAGAGACAGTTTACCTCATTACATAATTGGCGATCCTCATCTTCAAGCCTGACAACTTCATCTTCAAGCCTTCGAATTGCATCGATGTATGAGTTTTGTGTGGCGATATAACCATCCTCCATATGATTGAATTGGAGACTCTCTATGTCGAGACGGTAGATTTCATCTTTAAGCTTGTCGACTTTATCATTACGCCAACGAATTTCTTCTTCAAGACGCTGAAATTCAACATCCAATTCAACGTATTGAATTGACATGCAAATGAATCGGCGTGATAACCCTTGAAATGATTAGGGTCCCACCCGACATGCCAAAAGATGTTTCCCACTTTTTCACAACGTAGGCTTGAGTGGAAAATCAATGGCGTGTGCGGTATGAGCGCAGGCATGCCAGGACATGTCGTCATCCAACGTATGAAAGGCATGAGCACCTCAATTTGACTTCGTATGTAGTGCGATTGCGTGTGACCCAAAGGGTGAGGCCACAAAGAGGTTCGTGGTTTGCCACAATGAAGTGGACTTAGAATTTCCCAACCCGTGTGAGAAAAAGAAGAAAACATCGTAAATTGAAGAAGAACTTTATTATATCGAAATAATAAAGTTGAGGTACAAGGAAAATGAAGTTGGTGTGAGTACCAATGAGTACGAGGTAATCAATACAATGAAAAGTAAAAGATAAAACAAACTTACTAGAAGTTTGAGTTTGATAGAAGCGCCGGGCTTTTTGGTGTTGGAACCCCTTCTAATTCTTGCGAACTTGTATTTATAGGAAAATTTTCAATCTATGAAGCCCCAGAATTGTATTTCATGCCAATCCATGGTGCTGCCATGTGTCCCATGTCCACGGATCCACTTTCTATCATGGGAGTTACTAGAGGTTACTCTCCTAATTTTTTTTTGGGTAATTTAGCTTGAAATTAAAAAAAGGTTAATCGAATGTATAGCCTACAAGGGGCATACCCCAGGAGGAAAAAAAGAAGTAAAAAGAAGAGTGAAAAAAATGTGATAACTCATGCACAACCCGCATGGAGAGTAGAGTAGAGTAATATAACAAAATAACATGCAATGTGGTTTGGTATTCTACCCCGTTGCTCTGTCCATCTGTGATGAAAGATAGAGTTACTCCCCTATTTTGGAGCCAAAAATCAATCAATTAAGTCTTGGACCCTTGTGCCGTGGAACTAGCAGATAATGGGCTTCAAACCCTTCCAATGAAACACCAAGATGCCAAGTGTCTTGACCATTTTCTTTGCAATTTTGCTATCAACAAAGACTGTAATCCCAACTTATAGATCAATACTATGAGGAAAGCAAGAGGTCCACTCCTCTACTTCTTGGAGCAGCTGTATTCCCAACTTCACAATTGCACGCAAGGAAAAAGAAAAGAAACCCAAAGGGACCCATCACACTTCAAATTTTGGCCAAAATTTTGACCGAGAATTCTGAGAGAGATTTCCCCAAATTAAAACCCCACTTTCCCAAATACTCCATCAAGTTCTCTCTCCCTCCCTCTCTCTCTCTCTCTCTCTCTCTCT